CTGACACATATCTATATTAATATTATGTATAAAACGATTTAAATCGATCAAACCTCGATCCGATCAATAAACCTAATATCATTTGTTTCATTAGCCCAAGTGCCCAGCCATATAAACTGGTTTGACAACCTTATCTGAATGCAATTAGTTTGTTGTGTGTCTGTTTTTGTTAAGGGAGGGTGAGTTGATGAATTGAATTTGAGAGGGACGAGTCACTGCACAGGCACTCACACTCACCACTTACAACTACTGAGTTGAGTGAGTCGTCTGATAAGATAAGAAGAATTCAGTAACTCGATCAGTAACATATAAATCCAAATCCAATCCCAACCCCACTTTCCTATCCTTCTTCTTCATTCAACCACCCAACCCAACCCAACTCTTTCTTTCCTTTCCCCACCACTCTTTTTCCTTCTCTCTCTCTCTCTCTCTCTGCCTGCTGCCTGCTGCTGCGACTGTGGCACTGAAAAACATGGCGCCTTCTTAAACAACATTTATATGAAAAGACCCACTGCTTCCCATTCATTTCTGAACACCCATCAAATAACATTATAAAAAGTACCCTCCCCCTCTCTCTCTCTCTGTCCTAGAGAGATCTTTGGGGTTATATTCCTTTCCTTGTAACAAGAAACATGGTGAACAAGAAATGTGGTCCTAAGAAGAGATGACTTGACTTATACATGATTACCCTCTCTTGTTCAAACTTCAACGTACACGACTACACAGTCCTTTCATTATTAGGATACACAGCATCGAAGCAACCAGATCTTGTATTTCCAGTGAGGCAGTCACACTACTGTTCTTAGTCTCTGTGAGTTGGGGAGAGAAGAGGTAAATAGTAATGGTCTTTGGATGGTAATTAACTATTACTTTCCGTTAATGAACGATAATTAACTAATTATATCAGCTATGAGAATCACTTCAGAGAAACATAGATGGATATATAGAACCTAACAATATCATTTAACTAGTGATTAAAAATATTCATATCATCCATCTGGGCATAAATGTGTTCAAACAAATTTATGAGTTTGAGAGTAGCATAAAGGAACACAAAGGAACATGGGTTCTTAGATTTGGTGGTTGTGGTTGATGAACCGTCAACAACAGCTCCAGCTCAGTTTGAGTTTGTTGGATTCATACCGATTATTATTGATGACATTTCAGATGAATCAAGTTAATTAACACGATATGTAAAGTTACGATTAGTTTGACGATATATCAACGATGTACAATGGCAATTGTTGAGGGATATATATATGCAGATGATCATGGTCCCAAATTCATTCATTCAGCAAGAGAGAATGTTTGTGTAGGTGGGCTAGTTCTTAAGCTATAAATCTCTCATTATTACTGACCTTTATGAACCAAAGAATGCTTTTAGGGCTGGCTATATAGAATTATTATTATGGGTCAGAACTCAGAACTTTCTTTTAAATGCTGCTGGGGGGAAGAGGGTCAGCTAGCTTCAATAATTTTTCTCGTTTTCCTATCAATTTTTCTGGCTTGCTGACCATCAGGGTTTAAATGTATTTCTGTTTTCTAATATATATATATTTCTTGAATAAAAAATATATCTCATCCCATATAGTCCAAACAGAAGATCCAAAACTGCCAAAAGGGGAGGGGAGAAGAGTGACATAAGTGTTCTCTGATCCTTATTCAATGAAATAGTCCCAGACCAGGAAAAGAAAATAAATACCCAAACTTAAATTAATTATTACACATACGCTGACATTTGGACGTACTAACCATATATTATACGTACTAAACAGCTAGCATGGTTCGTATTTTACTTAATTATACGCAGTTATATAAGTACACAAACGTTTGGAAACCCTTATATATAGGAGTGGCTGGGAAAATATCAGTTTGCGTGGTACGTGAGTGAAACGTATATAATTCACCAGGTTAGGTATACATACTAATACGTCCTAAACTATTTTTGGTTAGGCCAATTCCTTATATTGATAAGAACATCCGTAAATAAATATAAATCTGTAGCAATAAGTTTGATATGCATAAGTGGCATTGTATAAGTCTGAGGTCGTTGAATTCATACAGAGAATATTAATAATTCTTTTAGAGGTTGAGCATGTATTGCTTCCATAGCATAGTGGTAGTGCGTTCCCTTCGTAAGGGAAAGGTCGTGAGTTCGATCCTCACTGGGAGCTTTTTTGACATTTCATTTTTTTGGCTATTCATAAGAAAAGAAATGTATCGGACTCAAACCTAATCATCAATAGTCCCCTTTTTATGATGTAATTCCTCAAATCTGAGACTTTTCTTAGGTGAATCTAACACCTTAGCCGCTTGCGATTTGACTATATTTTTGTTGACAATGATTATAATAAGTATTCGAAAGCAATACAGCTTCATTAGTTTGGTTTAGAACAACAATAAATGTAAGGTTAGTAGTAAGAGTGGTAATAATATCTGAATCAACTCTGAATCCGAACTCTATAAAGAAATTTTGGAATGCATGAGCTAGTGTATATACTACCTAACATATGATCAACAATTCATATTATTCATTAATGAAAGAACTTCATGAAGAAGATGTGGCGCATTATAATTTTCAATGCGCCGAGAGAACGATAATCTACATTACTTCTACTCCTAAAACTACTACAAATACTATTAAACTGGTTTATTATTCATTGACGTACGAAAACCGAAGAACAATGTACATTTTTATAGGACTCTCTCACAAACCCTTTCCCTCTCAAACAAGGTAAACTAATCCTACCCCGGCAAGTAAATAATAACTTACTCAACAAGACACAATTAACTAATACGAATATTACAAATAATCATAGTAATCTAACAATTAATTAATAATAATATCCTAATTACTAAGCCTATACGCGACACCAATGCCCATGGGTGCTATAATGCACCAAGATGGTACGTATATCATATTCGAATTCGATCATAAATTGGTTCCATGTTTTGACTAGTGTACGTGGTACCAAACATTAACTTTCCGAATTTGAGGCTTTCTCTATTGTGAATCTAACACCTTTATCCGCTAGGACTATATACAATCTTATTGAGATCAAGTATTCACCAAGACACTTCCTCTAGTTTGGTTTAGAACACTAATAAATGTAAAATTAGTGGTAATGAAATGATAATAGCATTTAATGGGATGGGATTAGGTGCTAACCCTTATAGGGGTTAGCACCGTGATAACTAGCAAAAAATGCTACTAAAAATAACGAAATCACTACGGATTATTATAAAATCAATACAACATCTAAGCTAAATCACTACTAATTCAAACTAATAGTAGTTTTTCCCTTGATTAGTACGGTGCTAACTATTGTACAATACTACAATTAGCACTGTAGCCGTTCCCGCATTTAATCTACTCTGAATCCAAACTCTATAATGACACTCTAATATGAATGAACTATGAATCCGCCACATAATATAGAATCTATCCTTCAAAATGACGACACGTAGAGATTTTCCCTCCTAGGTGTTCCCTCCTCATTAAAATTCTCATGCCCCGGTGACCAAAGAATTATAATGATAATTATGATATTTTGTGTAAATATATAAATACAAGAATAGCTATTGGATTTGATACAATATATATTGACCAAGCTTTCCGCAGTTCTTTATGAGCACTTCTAGTATGCTATATAGTATTGGTGCTTTAATGTACAACTTAAAGTTGTACCATAACATTAAATGTATAAGTTTAGGTTGTACCATAAAGCAATTTGTACTATTATGTTATGGTACAACTTTACAACTTGAACTTGTACCTTTATGTGATGGTACAACTTCAAGTTGTACCATAAAAAAATTTGTACCATAAAGCAACTTGTACCTTTATGTGATGGTACAACTTCAAGTTGTACCATAAAAAAATTTGTACAAAAAGTATATGTACAATCTGAAGTTGTACCATAACATAAATGTACAATTTTAAGTTGTACCATAAAGGCAAAAACCTATAGCACCAATACTATATAGCATTGTAAAATTTCTCGTTCTTTATATGCAATAAACTTTGCCTTTTGTCCCCTCCCTTTCAATAAACTTTGGTTACAAGGTCAATTTCAGAAATCATTTATCACAAACCGACTTTATCCACAATCATCCAGCATTTAATTTCAACTAGCTTCGTGTTTCATGCTTTGAGCAATATAAAAAAACAAAAGATTTAACAACATACAAGCACTGAATAATGAATATCATCAACATATGATGATTACTTACTTTGATGTTCATTGATGTGCATTGAGAATAATATCTAGGTCCATCAAAGAAATAACTGATTTCATCGTGCATTTGTGTCAAAAGTCACTAACATGAAACTATTAGTCACTAATTAACAGGGAAAATATTGATCGTTAAACTTTGTAACTAAACACTTCTAACTATATATATTCTATCTCTCAACCTGATCATGAACAAATTAAAGTTAAATCCTAGCTAAACAACATAATTATTTCATTGAATGTTGTCGAATGAAAGAACAACAAGAATGTACACATACATATACAAAAAATACTAAAGATGCATAGAAATAGACACTTTCTTTTTTCATTTGTTTACACTAAATACATCATGGATCACAGGGACACAGTTGATACAAAACAACCTTAAAAATTGCTCTTTTTCTTATTTCTTTATTTTATTTTTGATCATTTCAAGAATTTCCATCACCCACCAACACCATAACTAAATGAACAAATAAATATCACCACACATACACAGTAAAAAAAAAAATTACAACAAAAATAAACTCTCATAATCTCACTCCCCACCCCCCAAAAGATAACTAATCACATAATAAAACCAGCAAACCCAATGCTCCCCAACAAAGAAACAAAGAATCTAACGTGTTAACTGATCAAAAGCCTCCCAAATATTATCATCAATAATGAAACCAGAGAATCTATAGAAATTAATCCACTGGTCCACTCATTATTAAAAACGATGTTAATTTAATCATCATAATATAATCACCAAATTATATATGATCACCCCTCCGACCTCCCTTTCTCCACCTCACCGTGATCCGTGACCCCCGACGACATGTAACTCACCACCAACGAGTTCTCATCCGGCGGCGCCACCGCCGCGGCAAACTTGTTCCTACAAGTGGCGCAGGTGAGGTGGAGGACGGCGGAGCTCATCTGCTTCACGGCGTGCTCCTTGAGCGCCTCCGCCTTGTCCAGCTCCGCCTGTGCCCGCTGCCGTATCCGCTTGGCATTGGCGAACTCCTCTTCCGCCAGCTGGATCTGCCGCTTCGCCTCCTTCCTCACCTCCTCCGCGTATGCCTTCTCCGCCATCGCCGCCCTCATGATCTCCTCCTTTACCTCCCTCCTCCCAGCCGAACAGGAAGACGACCCTACCGACAGCTGCAGCTGCGTCGTTGCAGGCGCGGCGGCGGGGGCGGAGGATGAGGGGGAAGACAGCTGGAGGTCGAGGTTGTGGAAGGAGTGGGAAGTTGGAGTTGTCGGGGCACCAATTGTTGTTGTTGTAGCAGTACTAGTAGTAGTAGTACTGCTCAACAACATCAGCCCCCGTCCGCGGTGGTGGTGATGACCTGGTGGAGGAGGCGGAGGAGGAGGAGGAGGAGTAAGTTGTTGTTCTAGTGCTAGTTGTTGTTTTTGCTGCTGTGATGGACGCGTCGGGGCGATCATGGGCCACGGCGCGGTCTCGTTGGACGGGCTCGGGCTCGACGCGGTTCGAGACAGACATGCACTCTGGTGTTGCTGCTGTTGATGGTGTTGGTGTTGGTGCAGGTCAGGTGGGGAATGTTGCTGCCGGCCCATGCTGCAAGCGTCCTGGTGCTCTATGAAGCTCTCCACCCTGCAGAGAGAGAGAGAGAGAGAGACGAAGAGGTTTAGCCAAATGTCGCTGCCGCCATGAATGAATAGATATGCATAGCTAGCTAACACATTATTATAGAATAGAATAGAATAGGGCACAGGACAATAGGATTATGTAACAACACATAAATACAAGGGATTGTGTATTATTATATGGTGTATATGAACAAGAATGTTTGTAATCCGTTGGGTGTCGTTATTCGGGAAGGAGAGAAGAGCTCGACCCATTAAATCATTAGGGGAAATGGAAATGGAACAGTGTATTGTATTTATAAGAAACATGATGATTCTATAGTGGGGTTGGGGTTGGGGTTGAAAAAACATCATTATAATAAGGTTGGAATTGCATTGACTGGGTTTTGATTTTTGAAGAAGAAGCAGAAATGGCTTTTTCGAGAGAGAAAACAAATATATAGTTTGTTTATTTGGCAGAGGGAGAGAATAAAGCCATGCTGCTCCTCAAAGCTTCTTTTCAGAAGCGGCGAAAGGCTGGAAAAAGGAAGAAAAGTAGAGAAAGAGCAGCAGCAGCAGTAGTAAGATAATATTTTCGCCTAGATCCTCCATTCCCCCCACGAACTGGAACATGGCCGCGAAACAAATTTCTTTTTAGAAAAGAAAAAAAATCCATCCGTTTTCAGAATCAGGTACAGTTCTTGAACTCCGAGCAAAGCTCAAAACGAAACAAATACCCACAAGAAACGCACCCAATCTCGGGAACAGCAATATTCTCGTTCGAATTGGGATTATTAGTACTGAATTGTTGGGGGGATTGTAATGAACAGAACAGAAGACATACCTGGAGAAGACGCGGCCGCAGTCGCAGGAGTGGCCGCGGGTGCCGCAGGTCTTGAGGTGGGCCTTGTAGTCGGACTGGACGGCGTATCCCTTGGAGCACTTGTCGCAGACCCACTGCTTGGTGTTGCTGTGCTTCCTCCGGAAGTGCTTCTTGATCCCGACGAGGTCGCCCAGGGCGTGGCAGGGGTCGTGGTGCAGGCAGCTCGGCTCCGGGCAGACGAAGACACGCTTCTTGACGACGGGGGTTTCTCTCTTGAGCAGCTTCCAGGGGACCTTGTGGCGCCTGCGGTGCATCTGCAGGTTCTGGTCCCGCTGGAAACCTTGGTTGCAGATCTCGCACACGTACCTGTCCGACTCCATCAGCGTCCGCGGCGACAGCGACACCACCTCCGCATCTGGATCTGCCACAAAACAAAAATAAATAAACAGCAGATTAAATAAATAAATATATTATTATTATTAGGTTAAACAAATTGGAGAATTGGGGAATTGGGATGTAGTACCTGGAGTGCCGGCGGGGCGGCGCTTCCGCTTGTTGCTGGGGGAGGCGGCGGTGGCCGCGGCGGCGGGGGTTTCGGTTTCTAAAGAGGAGGGAGGGGAGGATGATAAGTTGGGGAACATGGTGATTTTTGTATGGAACAGTACTAATTACTACTACTTGGGTATGGCTAGCTGGTTGGAAAAAGCGATTCCAATCTCTTTAACTTTTTTGCTTCTTTGATGGTGGTGGTGATGATGATGGTAGAGTTACTGTGGTGGTGTGGGCTTCTTCTTCTCCTTCTTCGAGAGTAATCATGAAATTGGAAACCATGAGAGAGAAAGGAGATCGGGGTTTCGATTTGGGTTTTGCTTGTGCTGCTGATGGATGATGATCTTCTTGCTTTCTTTTCTTGTTGCTTGGTGGTGCTTCCTCTTGCTTGCTGCTTCCTTTCGGTCGATGAGCTGCAGCTTTTGTTGTGGAAACAAGGAAGAGAGGGAAAAGGGGTTTCCTTTGCTTTGCTTTGCTTTGCTTTGATGGAAGCAGCCTTTTCTCAATTGAGCAGCTTTATTTGTTTTTTGTTTGCAGCAACAGTACTACTGGTACTAGCTAAGCTAAGCTAGATCAATATACTGGTTCTTCAGAAGAAGAAGAAGAAGAAGAAGAAGAAGAGAGAAGGAGGAGATAGAGAGAGAGAGAGAGAGGAAGAAGGGGAATTGCATTGAAAGCAGCTTGGAACCCACAAGAGGAAGGGGGAAATATAAGGGGGCCAGAGAAAGGAAGAAGAAGAAGAAGAAGATATCATCATCATCCCTCTCTTCCTACTCACAAAGAAACAAAACGCTCTTAATAATAATTCACTTTTTATCTCTTACACAGTTAAATGTTAATCTCACCCCTCTCTGTTTTTTTTTTTTTTTTTGTTCTTTGGGATTTATCTGCATTAATAAGTACAAAAGTCCAGGAAACAAAGAATAAATACAAGAGAACAAGAACAAGATCTATAAAAATACACGTATTTTTATTTGGGAAATTTGAGAGAAATAATCATTAATATTTTATTGAGTGGAAATGTACACGCAATCTATGTCTTGCCACGGCCCGCAGAAAATTCCTGCTAGGCTACGCTCTGGATATGGAAGGATATATAGTGGAAATGTTCACATCAATGATCGAACCCTATTTTTCTTTTTTTGTTTTTTGTTTTGGGATCAAGGTAGAACAGGTAGGACAAAAATGCTATGATTTAGTAGGACGGGGTGAATAGTAAAATCCCAGTTGCTTTTTACCATCAATCAGCTTCCTAGTAATTAGCTTCTTACCTTGCATTTTTGTCTTGGATAAACTTTTTTAGATTACTATATAAGATCATGTCTTTAGCTACTCACTCTTTTTATATTTGTGTGATTACCTCATTTTAATCATATTTACGCAAACTCGTTTATGTAAATCGCATTATATTTTATGTTCATAACTTATACATTTTTTTTTTACTTCTCTCTCATTTATCATACAATATATTTACACCATTCGTCACAAAATATATTAACAGGATCTAGTCAAGATATGGTCGCTACATACGTTGAGCTTTAACTCAAAACCTTCTCATAATAAAAGAGATTAACATGAAATTACCCCAGATGTGTCCATTAATTAGACTCTTCAGAGATAAGCAATAATAAGTTTTGCCCATCTACCCTGTGGAAGGTGGCAATCAAATAGACAATAATTCACAACTCCAACAAGATAATGAAGAATGGTGATTTCTTTTTTTCCCAGGCAATCAAATAATGCATTGAAGTGATCAATTTTAAATAATTGTTGATTGGAAATTATGGTACCTGAAAAACGTTTTTTTTTTTTTTTTGTGTATAAAGGTAAGGAGATTACTCCTTTCACCGATGAAATTGGGACGATTAGGCGTTACTTAGTACTCCAAAGAATTTACATATTGATAACGTGAGAAAAAGTAACATCCATCATACTCTAAATTCAACATGAAAGTTAAAAAAAATACCTTATAAAAATGATAAAAAGATTAAAGTTCACAGAAACATCGTACTGCTAATTTATATACCAATAATAATCCAAGAATATATGTAGTGTATCCATGTTTTCTTGTGCATACGTGTGCCTCTTGAATATCTGTAGGATTGCTCAACTAAACTCCTATCAATGGTGATCAAATTAAGGTACTAATTGTATAAGGCAGGAAATTAGATGAGGACAAAGTGTCAAAGTGTAGAAAGACGCCACAAGGAGAGGAGGAAGGTTGTCAAACCGGTTTAAGTGATTGAACCGGTCAGGCAAAAGATTTGAGGTTTAATGGTCTGATCGAGAACTGGCCGGTGTAGAAGTTTTCTAAATATATATACAAATAAGGTAATAATTAAAGATTTAATGGCTAAACTAAAATTATCTTACATGTACCTATTAAAAACTTATTTTTCACAACTTAAATCTACATAACTTCCATGACTCACCCACCATCTCCCTTCCTTCGGTCCTCTTCCTCTCTTCCCCCTCTCTTCTTCTCTATTTTTAGGGTTCAGACCAGGGATTTTCTAGAAGCCGTTTTGAAGCCCAACTAAGGCTGGACCGGGTCCAATCGGGATCCGATAGGGGTTTGACAACCTCAGAGGAGGGAAGGAAGATATGAAGTAGAGCTAGAAAGCATCTCCTTTTCTATTATTTGAAACTCTTGGCAATAGAGCTGGCTAGCAAAGTGTAAATTATTACACACAGATGCGAAGCAGCAGGCTTTTGGCAAAGGTGGTGTCTTTTTGATGATATTGAGGGAGAGCGGGGTCAGGGGTGGTAAGTCATCCTCATCTGGACAAAATGGTCAACTCCAAAACTTGTCTCTCTAAGCAAAGTTCCTTTCTTTTACAGGGAAGAAAATAGAAAAAGGGAGAAATGATAGCAAAAAAAAAAAAAAAAGGAACAAGAAAGAAAGAAAGACAGCCATAAGCCCATAACAAAGTTCCTTGCTTTGTCACTCTCATAGTCATAGGTGCAGGCCTCAGTTAAAAAAGGGAATTGGCAATTACTACATTCATGGAGATGCCTCTTTATAAGGCTTTCTATATGGAGCACACCACACTCATCTGCTCTAGTGTACAAACAATAATTCTGGTAATAATTACACTTCCCAAACCAACAAAGGGTAATTTAGGTATTTCCACATTTTACCTCTTTGCGTGGACCATGGGATGATTTCCTTCGAATCGATCAAATATTCATTTTTATCATGAAATTGTTGGCATTTTCTTGAATTATAGGGTCAAAAATGAAATTTTTTTATGTGAAGAAACACCATTGGTACTAATGTTCATATACAATTCCGCACTTTCGTTTAGAATATTGTAATTCAGCAATTGGGTGTTTGAGTACTAACACTATAAGTACCTTTTTTTTTCCCTTTTCCTTTCACAGTATTGTGATTTTTCGTATATCATCAGTGACCTGTGACCATCACAAAAAAAGAGTTAGGTTAGCATGTATACCCATAGTATATTAATCCGAAGATTAAAGTAAATATGAAATTCACTTACGTTTTTTTTTTTTTTTTGCATCCAAACATATACAAGTTTCTTAATGCGTCCTGAAGAGAAATAGAGAATTATAGCTTAGGTTAAAATGTAATATTTATTTAACTAGTGTTTGTGGTTAGGACAATTGGGAGATTAAACTCTTTTTTATTTATAAAATTACGAATCATTATGACATTCAACATGGTATCAAAGTTTGTTTTTACAAGCATTTTTAGCTTCTTATACCATTATGTCCAAGTAGTAATATTTCTGAAAGGAATGATTCATGTTGAACATAGATTATCCATCACGAATTATTACATAACCTTTCCATTACAATCTACAGAATTTGACAACGACAGCCGGCAAGAGATATTCCCTCATGTTAATCTACGCAATTAATCAAAATAATTAAAGGAAGACAGCTATGATTACTTAAGTTCATAAATTGGACGGCCAGGTAGAATTGTTATTATTCCTCTCATCTCATCTCCGGCGGGCGTATACGTCATCTTCTAGTGCATGGAGTTGAGATTTGACATGTAAGCTACGTCCCGAGTAGGGCTCAGCCGCATTCTCTACAGCGGCCGGAGTGGAAAAGGAAAACATTGATGAGAAATCATTATCAATTTTGAATTTACACGTACATACACCATCATCTTTGATTAAGTTTAATTATCACTAGTATAAATAAGCTTTAATTATGCTAATTATGAGGTGTACAAAAGTTATATTGCTTTTTGTTGAAAAACGAGTTCAGCTTTAATAATTCGCATTAATCAAAAGCCAATTCATTCACACATTTGAAATTTGCGTGGCCTTTTTATCAAAAAATAAAAATAAAAAAATTGCATGACCTTCTAGTTCCGGCTTAAATGATTTATTTGTATTGTTTGCCATAAGAATTCGAAAACTAAATGTTTAGTGAAATACCTAATATCATGTTAAGTATTAATTCATCTCATTGTTTCGAATTATGGTGAGATGTCCAAATTAGGTGTATTATTAGTGACGAAGTCAAAAATTGGAATGAGGAGGGTTTGAAAATATCAAAGTGCAGCAGTACCCCCCATATTAGAGATGGCAAACTTGCCCGACCTGTTGGGTACTGTTACGCGGAAAATTCTAGACAATAGTTGGTCCGTGACAGTACCCACCCATACGGGGTCAAAATAACCGGCCATCGTGGGTAAAGGACGAATTCAGGTATGCCGAAACCTGACAGTAGCGGGCAACGAGTGGGGTTGGATCTTGTAGTGAAAGTTGGTACGCCACCACCAACTCGCTCTTCACCAAACTTAGCCACAAGAGGACGACAACCAGGTCCAGGAGTAGTGCATTCGGGGGAGACGGGGGAGCTGAGTTCTCTGTACGTCGCCGGTGTCTACCGACAACAATGTGTTTGGGGGCGGTCTTGAGGATCCGTGGGTTGCCCGAACCCGTTGGCGGACGGGGACGATAGCCAATCTACCCCGTTTAGTCGTCGGGGACGGAGATGGAGAAATCCGCCGAGGTTTACGGGGTTGTCATCCCTAAGCCAATCCATGGAGGAGGACAAACCAATAGCCACGTCCCACCACTTTCTAAAGTATAGTCGAGATGCGAATACA